TCATTAATGTGTGTGTTTCCATTACTATAGATCTGTTTTATTTTTAAGTCTATTTTTTCAATTCATTTTTTTTTGTCATAGTTCTCATTGAAATGCTGAGTTATTATTGTGGATGTATAGAAATTATGAACCAAGTAAGTTTAAACCTTTTAAAATGTATGTAAACTTATTAAAAATTGTACTTTCAACAGTTAATGATTTGGGTGCAGGGGTGTGAAAAAGTCCTCAGAGGGAAAAATGATTCACACAACTAGGAAAAATCAAATGACATTTATTACTGATGCATTGTTTCTTTTTTATAAGCAAATGCTCTGTTTTTCTTTTAGTCTAAAAGAACTTTACAATATAAAGAAACATACAAAGAACATCTTTATTACCTACACAAGACACCTAAATCCCTAAGACAAGAATCTGGACTATCCTACCATGAAATACAAAGCAAACCCAGGAGACAGACTGCTTCATATTGAATACTGCCGCGTCATTAGAGACAGGGGAATCCTTTATATGCCCCCTCCCTCAAAACCTCAACCCGCTCCGCCCCACTTCAGCACATCTTCCTCATGGTACAGTATTATACACCACAATAGAAGTACAGAGATGGTCAACGATCAATTTACACAGAGGACTGAGAGGATCAGTGATACAGCTTTAAACTATACAGTGCTATCACACAGTCAAATAGCAAAGGACAGTTTTCCTCCATCAATACTATTTGATCTATTCTTTTTCATTTTAAATGTTCTCTTAAGATTTTTTTTTTCCATTTTAAAAGTTTACTTAAATTGATAAAAATCCTTCATATTAAAAACTGCAACATGAGGTCATGTTTTTTTTGTTAAGATGCCCTTTGGAAAACATATTCATTTTTTTTCCTTTTTTATTTAGACCAAAACAGTAACATCTGACTGAAATGAGAGGACATGAGAGACAGTGAGTCTGTCCCTTCCTCCCAACCACACAAAGTCTTTGTCAGCAGTCAGTCGGTGTGTTACTGTCATTTATACATTTAGCCACTTTACAGTATTCTATAAATTTATCCACATGAGCCAAAAAGGTTCACACATCCTTCCTCTGTGAAACAAAAAAAGAAAAGACAAGAAAAGAAAAGAAAAAAAACATGAACAGTTTTATTTATAATTTACTCTCAGCTGTTTTCATTGGTAGTGACTGACATATCAAAACATGTCAATGATATCAAAATGCATTATACAGTATTTACAAAGGATAAAAGAAAGAAAAGAAAGAGGGTGGGGCTGTGGAGGAGGGGCATGTGTGTCACTGGACAGAGTGACTCCAAGTCCTGGAGATGTCCCTGATGTCTGGGTACGATCTGTTCACATTGATGCCAATAAACCTGTAAATACGTCAGCAGAGGCTTCAGCCCTTCGTTACTTATTGTGACGCGAGAGCTGCCGGTGTGGGGCCAAGACAGTCAATCACTTTTAAGGAGCAACAGTGAGGGCTGATAGTATCTTTGTGTTTTATTTGAATACATAAAAAACAGCTGAAAATAAATGAGTTTGTTTCYTCTTCTTCAACTCAAGGTGCGTCATTCTGAACCCCCCCGGGTCTCTTACCCACCACCCATAAGGGTGAGGGTAGCAGTAAACAGGAACTGTTGTGAAAGTGAATCACCACAATGTGTGAATGGCAAAAGAAAAAAATCTGCTCCAAAAAATATGAGTCAGGAAGTCCCACAAGCGCTCTGTCAGTCCAAAAGAGCTCAGATTGAATCCTGGGAGGAAAACGCTGCCACTCAAGAGTTAGGTGAAACATTTTCTGATTCACAGACAACTCGTAAATAACAAAACAAAAAAAAAAAACCATACAAACTGATTATGCTGCACAGACAAAAAATCACAAAATGCTCATCTCCGTTGAAGATGGAGCAGCTTCCGTTCTGATAGTCGGCTTCTTGAGTCACCAGCAGTAAAAGTGCTGAGTCAGGGTTATTTTTGTTTTTAAGACAAACAGCTGATGTGCATCCCAGCAATCCAACTGCACTCCACCTTATGAGAGTTTCAGGAAGAAACATTTAGGATGGAAAATGTGTTGAGATACAGTTTTTTTTTTTCAGAGAGGTGTCTAAAATAAAACCAAAATGTGCCCAAAAAATATCCCAAAACAACTTCAACCATGTAAACAAACAAAAAAATATCTTTGTGCATTCCTCAAATGTGTGCTTCTTCTGTCATTGATGCTGCTGAGACAAAATTAGCAGGAAATCATAGCTACATTAGCAGAATAACAGCAATTATGTAAGTTAGAGCAACAATATTATCCTCTACAGCAAAAAATAAAATAAAATAAAATAAAATAAAATTGTTATGACATCCTTCTTGCCCTAAAAGGCCATTATCAGTTCATCCTGCCATGGGATCAGAGAGTTTGAATAACTTCTTGATGGCGCAGAGCAGGGTACGCCTAACTGAAGAGGAGGATCATGACTGAGCCTGAACGCCGCCCGCCAAGAGGAAAAAAGTTTCTGAGATGCGGGGAAGCTTTGTGTTCTTCGGGGGCCTTGATGAGTCCCAGCAGGTGAGGAGGTCCTTCCCTGCCGTTTGGAGACCGTTTCAGGCTCTAACAGCCATTTTACCGGCAGCGAGATGCGGGTTCTTAAAGGAAGTCCTGCGTTCCAGGGCGATCCCCAGGAGCTGCATGGCACACCGTCCACGAGGAGGAGGAGGAGGGAGGAAGATGCAAGACACAGCAGGGTAGACAGAGAGGGAGGGATTCAGGTAAAAGGAGACGAAGAAGTAAAAAAAAAAAAGGGGAAAAAAATCACACACTCATCGTCATGTTGGGTGAATACTGTAAAGAGAGAAAAGACAGAAGGGAGAAGATATATGTGATGCTTCCAGTTTTAGATGTTTTAATACACTGAAGCAAATATTATACACAATTCAAAAATGTTGGCGTGAACTGCTCTCAATATTTGAATGCTTTCTGTGTTTTGGTTTTCGTGAAAAGGGGGGTCTCTGCCATCAATAAGTGGGAGGTTCTTGGTGTGTGGGGGGAGTTTTTCAAAGACATGACTGGTCTGTTTGACTTTTTGTGGGAGGATTTTGGTAAAGATTGGTCGGATTGATTATTTTGGGTGGGGTTTGAAGAAGCCATGACAATTTGATTGGATGAACACTGGGCAACCTGGGGGGACGTGTAACTTGGTCAAAACGCAAGGGCGGAGCCAGAGGGGTGGCCCGGGTGGCAAGTGAAACCCCTGGCACCTGACTGGCCACCCCAGGTGGTAAACTTTCCACATTTGGTACCACTGGTTTGAGCTCCTCTGTGACCTCCACAAACTGTGGCCCCTATTTGAACATAACCCCGTTCACAATTCAATCTCTGATAAAACTTTTATCTCCATTGACTTTTTCCATTCCAGCTGTTTGGACTTTATGTTACTCTTTATTTACTGTTATTTAACCTGGCAAATCCCATTGAGATCACTGATCTCTTTTGCAAGGGCAGCCTGAGCCTGAAGGCAACCTATTGTACATGTTTTTGTGTTACCTGTGTGCATGTTGTTTTGTGACGAAAACATGGCTGTGCGCTGATCATTTCAGTGGTTTCTCTGGTTTTCCTGAATGAATTCTCAGACAATATTGTTTAAATTTGACCAGGTTTTAATTGCAGTTTGCTCAGGATTTTTAAAATCTTATTTAGTTTTTGTGCAGTGTGTAATAGATCGCACACATCAACAGAGTCATACACTTGATTGAGTCTTATCTTATGGTTTATGTGGTTTTCATTCAGAAAATGGCAAAGAGGTATTTTTGATAACAAGCTTACTTTATTTGACACCTCTTTTTCTGTGAGTCTATAACTCCAGACATACTGAATTCTTTCATTGCTGCTCTCTTCTTCTCTGCTTTCACCAGTAACACTGACTCGTGTCCTCCTGTGTGTTTTACCACTCATGAGCTGCTTTTGCAAATCTAACACAGCTGACACTGTTGACAATAGTGTTATTGTTTCTTGTTTAGGACACATGGTTGGGATTACAGGTGCAGCATTACCTTTGCTTTACTGGTAGTTTTTTACATCGGTGACAGAAGCTTCTGTGTTTAGTGTTGGTAATTTTCTTTCTACTTCAGAGCCTCTCTCCCGTGGGGTTCCCCAGGGCTTGATTCTCAGACCACTCCTGTTTTTACTGTACCTGCTCCCTTTGGAGTCTATTCTAAGAAAATATGTTCAGTTCCTCTCTCTATTCCCCTGCTTCAGACCTCTCAATGGTTTGTCAGATGTACAGTCAAAAACTGAACTTCAACACAGATACCAAACCAAACCTAAATGTGTAATGTGACAAACGTAAGTCAACACAACTCAAAATGCTTCATATATCACAGTTAAAAGTATTTATATCACTTTAGAGGTGAAATTAGAGGAAATAGTTTGTTTCTGGTAAGACAGGAGGCGGAGCTACAACTGCTGACCGAAACTGAAAAAGCAGATCAGTCCCAAAAATTAGGCTGAAGCTCAAAGGAGATTAGATATTTTCTGTCTTGTGTCCCAACCTTTGAAACAATTTACCTTCTAACAGTGGAGAGAATTTTTCACTTCCTGTCTTAAAATCTCTTTAAAATCATGTTTGTTCACATTGACATTTAACCCAGTGTTGGCTAATAAAGGCTTAATATTATTATTATGATCACTTTAGACTTTTTTTTGTCATTTTTATTTTATAATAAAAGTTACAACTTGTTTTTAAATGGGCTTTATAAATAAATTGACTTGATGTAAAACATGGAAAAATTAGGAATTTGTTTTTTACAAAATACAAATCTATAAATTTTCTAGAAAGAATTTTCGAACATTTTTTTAAAAGATTTCCTGAAAGAACTTTTAAAGCTGATCTTGCTGTGATACTCACACTTTCACTTTGGAATGGGTTTAAAAAGTTGCCAGCCATCTCGCCATCATCCCGCGGAGTGCCGGGAGGATTGTTCATGCCTGCCATATTGTTGGGAGAATTCTGCAGATCAGACCAATAAATAAATAAACAAATAATTAAATAAACAATGAGGGAAAAAACAAAAACAAAACAAAAAAAAACAAAAAACAAATCATACAGGTAGAGTAAATAAATGAACAGATAACTAGTCACTTAGTCTTACCTTTGGCAACCCATCCATGTCACCAGAGCCTGTGATTGGAAATGGAATGAGAAAGAAAGCCATTAGAATTAACCGATAAGAGCTCAGGATGTCCTGTACAGGCGGGAGCTACTCCTGGCCCTGTCTCAAGTAATAGCCTCTAATTAAGCTATTTGTTTCAGATACAGATGAGCAAGAACTTCACTGGCTTCGCTGATTACATCACACCCACAGGATCAATTGGCCCTCTCACTGCCCCCTAATCTGTTTTAGCTTTGATCAATACTGAGCTGAAACACAACACTTTCCTGTTCCTGCCACAGGAGGGCAGACTCCTCCTCATCAAAGCAAACAACCACTGATTTCAGAGAACATGCTCGCAGGATATATGCTTCTGCTACTGGGACTCACCTAGTGATCCGTTCATATGATGCTGCTCCATAGCACCCATCCCACCCATGGGCCCATCTGGACCTGGTCCCATTGGGAACTAAAGGAAAACAGTCTTTTATTTAAAATTTGTAATAGTTTGAATGAGGGCATCAGAGCAACTTTGAGGCATGGAAATACACCTTTCTGAATAAAAACACTTACGTTGGGTCGGTTTCCACCAGGACCGATGGGATTCATCATTGTGTAGATGTTTTCACTTGAATTTGTGGAATCTTTGAAAAAAAAGAGAGAAGACTGTGAAACTGTTTGTAACCTGCATTGTTTTTGGCCCCTCCTGTATGGCACTTTGTGTCAGCGGCCGCTGTTTTAAAGCGCTGTATAAATAAAGTTGATTTGATTTAAACTGTACAGAATGTACTAATAATGTACATA